CAGGCTCAGACAGCGCTGGGTTTATATCTAATGTAATGACTGCACGTTATCAAGACAGGCTCAGACAGCGCTGGGTTTATATCTAATGTAATGACTGCACGTTATCAGGACAGGCTCAGACAGCGCTGGGTTTATATCTAATGTAATGACTGCACGTTATCAGGACAGGATCAGACAGCGCTGGGTTTATATCTAATGTAATGATTGCACGTTATCAGGACAGGCTCAGACAGCGCTGGGTTTATATCTAATGTAATGACTGCACGTTATCAGGACATATCCGTACAGCTTTCGGGTTTATAGCCAATGTAGGGGACTGACTGCACGCTATCAGGACAGGCTCAGACAGCGCGCTTCATATCTACCGGGACCTGACCGCGACGCCATCAGACAGGCCCACAGCTGGGTTTATATCTAATGTAATGACAGCACGCTATCAGGACAGGCTCAGACAGCGCTGGGTTTATATCTAATGTAATGACAGCACGCTATCAGGACAGGCTCAGACAGTGCTGGGTTTATATCTAATGTAATGACAGCACGTTATCAGGACAGGCTCAGACAGCGCTGGGTTTATATCTAATGTAATGACTGCACGTTATCAGGACAGGCTCAGACAGTGCTGGGCTTATATCTAATGTAATGACAGCACGTTATCAGGACAGGCTCAGACAGTGCTGGGTTTATATCTAATGTAATGACTGCACGTTATCAGGACAGGCTCAGACAGCGCTGGGTTTATATCTAATGTAATGACAGCATGTTATCAGGACAGGCCCAGACAGCGCTGGGTTTATATCTAATGTAATGACCGCACGTTATCAGGACAGGCTTATCAGGACAGGCTCAGACAGTGCTGGGTTTATATCTAATGTAATGACAGCACGTTATCAGGACAGGCTCAGACAGCATTGGGTTTAAATCTAATGTAATGACCGCACGTTATCAGGACAGGCTCAGACAGCGCTGAGTTTATATCTAATGTAATGTCGGCACGTTATCAGGACAGGCTCAGACAGCGCCGGGTTTGTATCTAATGTAATGACAGCACGTTATCAGGACAGCCCGTGACAGCTTGGCTTCCATATCTAATGTGGGATCTCTGACCTGACGTTATCAGGACAGGCTCAGACAGCGCTGGGTTTATATCTAATGTAGGGGATCTGACTGCACGTTATCAGGACAGGCTCAGACAGTGCTGGGTTTATATCTAATGTGGGGGATCTGACTGCACGTTATCAGGACAGGCTCAGACAGCGCTGGGTTTATATCTAATGTAGGGGATCTGACTGCACGTTATCAGGACAGGCTCAGACAGCGCTGGGTTTATATCTAATGTAGGGGATCTGACTGCACGTTATCAGGACAGGCTTAGACAGCGCTGGGTTTATATCTAATGTAGGGGATCTGACTGCACGTTATCAGGACAGGCTCAGACAGCGCTGGGTTTATATCTAATGTCTGGGATCTGACCGCACGTTATCAGGACAGGCTCAGACAGCGCTGGGTTTATATCTAATGTAGGGGATCTGACCGCACGTTATCGGGGTGATATAAGACTGGACCGGTTGAGTCAGATTTAGCTGGATATTAGGGTTTCTTACCTTCTGGCATGAATTACAGCTTGTCCGATGTCTCCTCTCAGCTCACACTGAATGTGAGACTAAACCCCCCCAGGAAATGAGTCCAGAGCGGAGCCTGATCAGGTTATCCCACCTCTGGGTCACACCCATGGTGGGGACATTGTGTTCCACAGCAGGGGGGACTTCAAGGGGGAGGGGGACAGAACACCAGGAATATACAATGGGTTTTCACTAAACTCTGAACTGAAAAATTCAGACTAAAATAGCCCAACTTCGACTCTAGCTGACCTGGAGCGTCTTTGCAAATCAGCTATTTTTGCCTTAATATTACAATTTAGAGTTTCATTATTTACAATCTGGATTTTAGTGAATATTTTGGTGTTTTTATCACAGAACTGGGAATCATAGAGAACTGACAGCAAATTGTGTGTTTTAGGACAAATACCTGAGCAGAAAAAACAGCTGTTTGGCCTCAAATTTGCAATTCACAAAATACAGATTTTGGTCTACGTTAAAACCACATTCGGACCTTAGTAAATATAAAGAGACATCTAGTGGTCAAAGAGAGCTATGACAATTAATCTCACTTTAAAGCGTTAAGGATTTACATCGCCCTCTTGTGGTTTTGTATCATTATTGCAGGAACATTATCGTTCTTGTTTATATGAATACTGTTCTGGCGCCATCGTGTGGACAACTATGAAAATAACATTAGTTCCTAAATTCTCAAAATAGAACAGTGCCCTCTTGTGGTAATTTATTGTTGTAGCAGATGTAGTAAAGTTCTCATTTATTATTATTATTTTATTATTTATATAGCGCCATCAAATTCCGTAGCGCTGTACAATGGGTGGACTAACAGACATGTAATTGTAACCAGACAATTGGACGTACAGGAACAGAGAGGGGGAGGGCCCTGCCCCATCTCAATGAGATTACATGCTAGAGGGAGTGGGGTATAGTGACAGTAACAGAGGGATTGAGGGCCTTGCTCAGTGAGGTTACATTCTAGAGGGAGTGGGGTATAGGGGCACAGTAACAGAGGGATTGAGGGCCCTGCTCTGTGAGTTTACATGTTAGAGGGAATGGGGTATAGTGACACAGTAACAGAGGGATTGAGGGCCTGCTCAGTGAGTTTACATGTTAGAGGTAGTGGGGTATAGTGACACAGTAACAGAGGGATTGAGGGCCTGCTCAGTGAGTTTACATGTTAGAGGGAGTGGGGTATAGTGACACAGTAACAGAGGGATTGAGGGGCCTGCTCAGTGAGTTTACATGTTAGAGGGAGTGGGGTATAGTGACACAGTAACAGAGGGATTGGGGGCCTGCTCAGTGCGTTTACATGTTAGAGGGAGTGGGGTATAGTGACACAGTAACAGAGGGATTGAGGGCCTGCTCAGTGAGCTTACATGTTAGAGGGAGTGGGGTATAGTGACACAGTAACAGAGGGATTGAGGGCCCTGTTCAGTGAGCTTACATGTTAGAGAGAGTAGGGTATAGTGACACAGTAACAGAGGGATTGAGGGTCCTGCTCAGTGAGTTTACATGCTAGAGGGAGTGGGGTATAGTGACACAAAGGGTAAAAGAAGGGGTATGAAGTAGGTTGTTAGAAAAGTATTCACTGAGGGCTTAGTAGGTAATTTTTGACAGTTGCAGGAGAGAAGTCATGGGGGGTGGGGGAGGAAAGGGGGGATAAAACGCCCGTAACAGTTTAATTGATATTAATATTATTTAAACTGTTAGCGGGTTTTTATCCCACCTTTCCTCCCCCACCCCGCATGACTTCTCTCCTGCAACTGTCAAGAATTACCTACTAAGCCCTCAGCTTTCTTGAAGAAGTGAGTTTTCAATGATTTTTTGAAGGAGTGGAGACTGGGTGAAATTCTTACGGAGAAGGGAAGGGAGTTTCACAGAAGAGGTGCACAGAAGAGGCGCGCGTTAGAGGTGGGCGTACGTACGGACAGAGGATATATGTAGGTCTATGTAACGGACCGTTTCAGCACACAAGGGGTTAAAACCGTTTAGGCGATCGTCCCCTTCCAGAGATGCAGGCACAATACTGCAGAACACCAATCCGCTGAACAGGAAACCATATGAATGCCGTAAACAGCCGAATAGGAAAAACCATACGAATAGGTTTACACTCCTAGCAGTCGAACTGGAACAGCATACAGTAAATCCCCCCAAGAACGAGACAAAGCTCCGTGTTGAGGGTCAAGCAGTGAACAAACAGAGCTGTGGGTTTATTGTGCTTATGTACACATTCTTACACATTAGTACCACCCACAGGGTTTTGGAACACAACCAATAAACACATACAATACACTCAGACACTCCCACACAAATTCCTCCCTCTGCATGTGATTCAATTACCTTACACAATGGGTAATGTAATTTAGCACAAGCAGAGAAATACAATTTTTCTACATTATTCATAACTTGAAAAGTATGCATCACATTCACATAAAACTTACATTCAGAATCAGCATACTCCAAATACAAACATACGTCAAAATCATACAAATTGGTCCAGTGGTTCAAAAGATAGATCGTAGTCCTTTGTGACCAAAGGAAGCATGGCTTTTTCTGCCCAAAACCAGTTCCACAGAGTCTTCTATCCTGGAGATAATTGGGAAGTAATCCAATTATCTCCAAGGACAGAGGCAAAACTCAATTGAACACATGGCAGCAAAAGACAATAAAACACATAAAAACATATAACTGTGCAGCCATTGCACAAAACATATCCCCAGATAGCTCAGATCTGAGCGCACATTATTACTGAATGGCACTCAGAGCACACACATACAATTCAATTGCCATGGAGCCAAAGTCTTTCCCATAGTCTTTCATTATACGAATGGGCTCCATGGCATAGCTATCTGGGGTATCACTGCTCAAACAGGGCAAGCACCAAATGACCCGGCTTTCTTGTCTTTGCAGGGAAAATCAAGCCTTTTAACATGGGGCCATAATCCAAAGGCAACAGGCGAGCAACCAGGCTTCTCCAATGCAATGTGGCGAGATTGCTCTCGTCACAGTCTATAATAACTATAGTTATTAATAGTATTCAAGTAGAGATTGTAGCCATATTAGTCCAGTGATGTAGATGTAAGAAACAGATCAAATTTGTATCTTGTAATACCTTTTTTATTGGACTAACAGAATTTTTTAATGACAAGCTTTTGGGAGAGAAAAAATAAAAATAAGGGCTGCGCCAAATAAAACTGGGTATAAAACGAATAGTCCAGATAAAATAAATAAATAAAAAGAGAAAGTCTTATCTAGAAACGTCTATTGAGGTCATAGTGATGGGCAATACTTGGTCCAGAACAATTGTCCTTATTGTTTTCTTCCTTATGGATCCGCTCATATGCAAAAGATAAAAAATAAATAGAGAGCCAGATAGTGTAGTATGTTTGATAGTTGGAAAGATAAAAGTATAAAAATCTGAAATACAAACTTACATTTAAAAGAGCTAAGACCCGCTCTGGTATGAAAGGCGTACAGCGGTAACATAGTCGCTTTAATCCCTGTATCACAACTCAGCTTTGAATTCTATGTGTCGTCTTGCTCAGAAATACTTTAGACTT